TATTATTATTATTATTATTATTATTATTATTATTATTATTATTATTAATAACTTTTATTAAACATGAAACTCAGTCAACTGAACATTCAAAAATGTATCATGTACATTTTAAGGAGATACTTGGTTGATACCTAGCATGCTGGCAGCAATCCATATCAACCATCACACCAGTCAATGATATATGTGATATTATTAATATTATTCATCACACAGTCAGGCAGATGTTCAGACTGGGTTTGGCATTTTTGTTTATCTATCGAATCCTTCCCAAGGACCTGGGATTGGCTGATTGGGATGTTTGATGGTAGCATAGACCATAGTAGTACAGACTATGGTCGCAGAATGGAAGCTGTCTCCAGTAAAGCTGCCGTTTGTAACTGACTGGTGGTGAATTTGTCAATGCCGATGGGGTTCAAGGGTGTCTCCAGTTGTTTTGCGACTGCACCCAAGGCGCCTATTACTATTAGGGCTAGCCTTGCTTGCCTTTGCCACCGTTGTTCTATTTCTATTTGCAGGTATTCGTATTTTCTTAACTTCTCCAGTTCTTTCTCTTCTATTCTGCTTTATTGTTGTTGTTGTCGATTTAATCTTCAATTCAAGTCACACTTTGGGACTCATAAAAAAACTTAACAGTTTAAGGCCTAACCAAGGACCTAACACCTACCGTATTAAGGTAGCGTCTGAATAATATAGGCAATTCCAAATTATTATAAAGTCAGAATTATTATTCTTATTTCAGATTTAATCTTCCATTCGACTGACAGTCTGGAACTGGTTCAAACTTAACAGTTCAAGGCCTAACCAAGGACCTAAGAACAATGAAGCATCTGAGTCTATGGGCAAGGTGTTTTTTGGCAAAGTCAGAATATTCGGATCTCATAAGTTCAAAATGTCCATGTATCATCATCTTCTCCTTCTCCTAATTCTCCTCCTCCCCCTCCCCCCTCCTTATTCTTCTACGATGATGGTGGTGGTGATATTATTATTATTATTATTATTACTGTTTTTTTAATTATTATTTTTCCTCCTCTGCTGGCCTACTCCTTAATATGTCTGTCTGTCTGGCTGGCTGTCTCTCTCTCTCTCTCTCTCTCTCTCTGGGTGTGTGGGTGTGTGTCTATCTCTCATTTATTTATTTGAAATCTTTTTTGCTTACTTTGTACAGGAGGTGCTTCTCTCATATCTCATATTTCTGAGATTAGTGGAAGTTCAACAAAGAAACATCTTGTGTGGATTGTGTGCTTTTTTTCATTGAAGCTTCCTTGATGTCTCTTTTCTCTCTAGCTCTTGTCTGCTTGGAAGTTATTTCCAAATCTGGATTGTTTGTTTGTTTGTTTTTAAGAATCAGCTTTCCATCTGCTCTTCTCTCAGGCTTTTATTTCATTTCAATTTTAAATTTCTGTGTCCACCTCGCGTGTGTGAGCGGTTTGCAACGGCCACATACATACATACACCATCTAAAGGCATGAATAAAAAGCACAGCTTAAAAGAGCAAGATTACAAACAAGTTAAAACTTAAAAAAAAAAGAAGTTTTAAAAGTTTTTGCGTGCATCAAAGTTCATTCAAACTTGCTCATTTATATGGGGTAGTTGTTCTATTTCTATTTGCAGGTATTCGTATTTTCTTAACTTCTCCAGTTCTTTCTCTTCTATTCTGCTTTATTGTTGTTGTTGTCGATTTAATCTTCACTTCAAGTCACACTTTGGGACTCATAAAAAAACTTAACCGTTTAAGGCCTAACCAAGGACCTAACACCTACCATATTAAGGTAGCGTCTGAATAATATAGGCGATTCCAAATTATTATAAAGTCAGAATTATTATTCTTATTTCAGATTTAATCTTCCATTCGATTGACAGTCTGGAACTGGTTCAAACTTAACAGTTCAAGGCCTAACCAAGGACCTAAGAACAATTAAGCATCTGAGTCTATAGGCAATTCCGAGTAAGGTGTTTTTTTGGCAAAGTCAGAATATTCAGATCTCATAAGTTCAAAATGTCCATGTATCATCATCTTCTCCTTCTCCTTCTCCTTCTTCTCCTTCTCCTTCTTCTCCTTCTTCTCCTTCTTCTCCTCCTCCTCCTCCTCCTTCTCCTCCTCCCCCTCCTCCCTCCTTATTCTTCTACGATGATGGTGGTGGTGATATTATTATTATTATTATTATTATTATTATTATTATTATTATTATTTCTAAGTTGCTTCCCCAGTTTATTTATTTATTTATTTATTTGATTTGCCAATTGTTTACAAGATAATAAGTATAAGTGTATACATAGTTGTGAATACATGAAATGGGTACATATAAGAAAAATAAAAGAATAAGAGAAACAATAGGACAGGGACGGTAGGCACGATGGTGCGCTTATGCACGCCCCCTACAGACCTCTTAGGAAAGGGGTGAGGTCAATAGTAGACAGTCTAAGGTTAAAGTTTTTGGGGTTTGGGGAAGAGACTACAGAGTCGGGTAGAGTATTCCAGACATTGACCACTCTATTGCTGAAGTCGTATTTCCTGCAATCAAGTTTGGTGCAAAAGACTGGGTGGAAGGGACAGGTGTCCAAGTTAAAGCAGACTTTTGCAGAATAGCGAAAATCCATCCAGTTTTATTTATTTATTTATTCATTCATTCATCTTGATATCCACCGAAGACATTTTATTGACTTAACACAAGCTCCTTTTTACACCATCCATCTCAGCAAGAAGCTTTCTGGGTTTGAAACATTCTTTATGGTATTTTATGTTTTCTTTCCTCCACAATGTTTTTTTTTTTTGTCACTGCTTCATTTTCCCTCTGGTTTAAGTATTTTTTTAATTATTATTTTTCCTCCTCTGCTGGCCTACTCCTTAATGTATCTGTCTGTCTGTCTGTCTGTCTGTCTGTCTGTCTGTCTCTCTCTCTCTCTCTCTCTCTCTCTCTCTCTGGGTGTGTGGGTGTGTGTCTATCTCTCGTTTATTTATTTGAAATCTTTTTTGCTTACTTTATACAGGAGGTGCTTCTCTCATATCTCACATTTCTGAGATTAGTGGAAGTTCAACAAAGAAACATCTTGTATGGGTTGTGGGTTTTTTTTATTGAAGCTTCCTTGATGTCTTTTTTTTCCTCTAGCTCTTGTCTGCTTGGAAGTTATTTCCAAATCTGGATTGTTTGTTTGTTTGTTTGTTTTTAAGAATCAGCTTTCCATCTGCTCTTCTCTCAGGCTTTTATTTCATTTCAATTTTAAATTTCTGCGTCCACCTCGCCTGTGTGAGCGGTTTGCAACAGCCACATACATAAATACATACATACATACACCATCTAAAGGCATGAATAAAAAGCACAGCTTAAAAGAGCAAGATTACAAACAAGTTAAAACTTTTTTAAAAAAAGAAGTTTTAAAAGTTTTTACGTGCATCAAAGTTCATTCAAACTTGCTCATTTATATGGGGTAGTCCTCGACTTACGACCACAAAGGAGCCCCCCAAAATTTATGTCGTTAAGCGAGACGGTTAAGTGAATTTTGTCCCATTTTGCAAACTTTCTTGCCACAGTTGTTCAGTTAACTAACCCAGTTTTTAAGTGAATCCAGCTTCCTCATTGAGTTTGCATGTCAAAAAAGAGGTTCACATGACACCGTCATAACTGTGAGTCAGTTGCCGAGCACCTGAATTTCAATCACGCGGCTGTGGGGATGCTGCAACAGTGTGAAAAATGCTCCAAAGTCGCAGTTTTTCGATGCCATTGTAACTTTGAACGGTCACTAAATGAACTGTTGTAAGTCGAGGACTAGCTGTGGTTGGTGGAAGAGGGGTTTTCTTGAAAAGAGATTGGTATTAAATGGGATGGAGCACGGATAAACATTTGATTGTACGTTAGTTCGGGATTTTTCATCAATACAATTCACAGCCCCAATAGTAAATAATGAATCCTTATTAGTGGGGGAAAGTTTAGCCATCGCTAAAATTTTGTCTGTCCTGGGCCTCTTCTCTAAACAGGTTCAGAGATTATTTCTATAATTCTGCTTTCCCAAATTTGGAGATAAAAACAGAACGAAGAGCGATCTGTCCTTCTGCTAAAGTAGGGCAGCTTTTTCTAGAAGCCCCCCGAAATACGTGCCTTGTATCTCCTTATTAACCCAAATGGTAGGCAATTGAAGAGGCTTCCAATAAAATGAAACATCTGGACTTCAGGGTTAAGACGAAGGTTCCTTGGTGCTCTCTGACCTGGTTTCTTTTCTCACGGATGTTTCATGACCCAACTAAGCAGGAGGGTTGGACTAGAACAGTGGTCGCCAACCAGTGAGCTGGGGACCACTGGTGGTCCATGAGAAAATTTTGTTGGTCCGCAGAGAAAGATCACCCCCAAAGCAATTAATCCAGGCTGCGTGGGAACACAAGGCTTGCGTCTCTTGCATTGCGTACAACACGAGGTAGTGAGGGGAGGGGGGAAAGGGCGGAGGGGGGGGACTTGCCCCACTCGCCCCACGTGCCTCGCCTGGCCACCGGGCTGCTTCTTTCCGCTTCTTTCTTCTTCTGCTTCTGGCTGCACGCAAGGAAAGCAGCAAAAGTCTTTCTTTCTCTCCCCCAAACTCCACCAGAAACGAGTCTTTGGGACCCTGCAAGGCCTCCTGCTCCAAGAGGCTGTGCCATTCTGGCGGCGTTTGGGGGAGAGAAAGAAAGACTTCTGCTGCTTCTGCTGCTTTCCTTGCATGAAGCCAAAAGTCTCTCTCTCTCTCTCTCTCTCTCTCTCCCTGAGAACGGAGCTGGAGACGGTATCCTGAGATCCCAAATAAAGAATGATCGACCGGTAGGAAAACGGGGTGGGGGATTTTCCTGCAGACTTTTTGGGCGACTTTCCCAGGGTCTCTGGTGCGCGGGATTGAAAATTATGAGTTTGGTGGTCCCTGAGGTCTAAAAGGTTAGTGACCCCTGGACTAGAAGATCTCCAAGGTAACTTCCTACTCTGTTATTCTATTCTATTCTAAATTAAGTGTTAGAGGGGAGTGGGGTTTATGGAGAGGAGGAGGAAGAAGAAGAAGAGGGGGGAGAAGGAAGAGGAGGGAAAGGATGTATGGGTCATTGGTGTTCTCTGAGCTTTGTGGTTTCCTTGCAGATGTTTCACGACTCAACTAGGGAACATCGTCAGTGCTACAGGGGAGAGGAGGAGGAGGAGGGGGAAGAAGAAGAGGAGGAGGAGGAGGAGAAATCTGCATATAATTACAGATACCGTGTTTTCCCAAAAATAAGACCGTCCCTTATATTACTTTTTTTTTGCCACCAAAAAATCCACCAGGTCTTATTTTTGGGAGATGTCATCCACTGACTAACCTCACTTGCGTGCATTGCCCACTTTTCGCCATCAGAGGCCTTCAGGAGCTGCTTCTGTGGCCGGCAAGGCTTTCCTGAAGGCCTCTGCAGCCGATAATGGACCTCTGGATCGATCCTGAGCTTTGTTACCAGCTCCAGAGGCCTTCAGGAAAGCCTTGCCAGCCTTGCCGGCTGCCGAAGAAATGGGCTGGCAAGGCAGGTGTCGGTGTGTGTGAGGCCTGGCTACAACTGCCCAAAGGTAAGTAGTAGGGCAGCTCCATCCCCACTCTAGCTTAATTTTTACCCCTCTACTCTGGAGTGGGCGGGATTGTAATTAGGCCTTACTTTGGGTGTAGGGCTTATATTGGACGCACATGTAAAAATCAAGCTAGGGCTTATTTTCAGGGTAGGTCATATTTTCAGAGAAACAGAGTAGTTCTCGACTTACGGCCAGAATTGAGACTAGAATTCCCATCATTAAGCAGGGCCATTGCTAAGTGAGTCGTGCCCAGTCTTATGACATTTTTGGCCATCTTTTTTGAGCGTAATAGTTGTTAACCACACAGCAATGATAACTACAAATTTAAAAATAGATAATAAAATTAAACTAAAAAAAATAAGAAGATAAAATAAGAAAAGAACTTGTGGAAATATCAAGCCCTCTCTGGTCATGTTTTCCCCCCATCTTGTCGTAAGTTTGAACAGTCACGAGATGAATGGTCGTATGTTGAGGACTTACCTGCATTGTCTCTTTTTCTCCTTTTGGCTCTTCCTCATAGATGGCGACCTCCAAACGAGGGATTAGATCCACTCGGAAACTCCGAGACTGGACTGTGGAGCAGGTGGAGAGCGGGAAATTCCAAGGTTTGGTTTGGGATGACCCGCCAGCCAAAACGATGTTCCGTATCCCATGGAAACACGCCGGAAAGCAGGAATTCCGGCAGGAAGAAGACGCCGGTTTTTTCAAGGTGCCGAGCTTGTAGAGTGGGTACAAATGGGAGGTTGGGAATTTGTGAGTGTCAAAAAGCAGTCGTAGTTATGACAAAAACTTGACTGTTACGTAAACAGAATGCGAGCCGGCTGTGTGCCGCAGCAGCCAAAAAAGCCAATGCTATCCTAGGCTGCATTAACAGAGGGATAGAATCAAGATCATGTGAAGTGTTTAATATCGCTTTTTATAATGCCTTGGTAAGGCCACACTTGAATTCTGCATCCAGTTCTGGTCACCACAATACAAAAAAGATGTTGAGACTCTTGAAAGAGAGAAGAGCAACGGAGATAATTAAGGGACTAGAGCAGGGGTGGGCAAACTTTTTGGCTCGGGGG